GATGGGGTACACAACCCCGACATCCAACCACTTGATCACCTCCTTTTTCACAACTTCTTGCATTGCCTCGTTCAATCTCCTTTGATGTTCCAAGGAGGACTTTGCATCATCTTCCAGAATAATCTTGTGCATACAAAATGCGGGGCTTATCCCCCGAATATCAGCTAAAGTCCATCCAATTGCCTTTTTCCGCTTTTGAAGCACCGCCAATGTGGCAGCAACTTACATGTTAGTAAGACAAGAGGAAAGAATAACTGGAAAAGTAGAATTTGAGCCTAAGAACTCATACCTGAGGTGTGGAGGTAGCGGTTTCAACTCCAACATAGGAGGCTCCTCAATTGAAGGTTTTGTTGGTGGAGTCTTCCTATTTTCAAGGTCCAAAGATAATTTCCTAAGCTCATAAGAGTAAGAGCCCATTCTATGTAAAGCGTTCACGTACTCCACTCGGTCCTCATCATTATTGACATCAAGATTCAACAATACGGCCTCCAAAGGGTCCTCAACTTTGATCATTGCGCTGGTGTCATCATTTATCACTGCTGTGACAAGGTCCACAAAAGAGCACACCTCAGTACTATTGGGATGCTTCATTGATTTGCAAACATGAAAGACCACTTTCTCTTCACCCACCCGGAAGGTGAGTTCCCCTGCTTCCACATCAACCAAGGCCTTCCCCGTAGCAAGTAAATGTCTCCCCAAAATGATAGGAACTTCATAATCCACCTCACAATCCAAGATCACAAAGTCAACTGGCAAGATAAATTTGTCCACCCGGACAAGCACATCATCAATAATACCCAATGGTCTCTTCATCGTTCTATCTGCCATTTGTAATCTCATGGAAGTCGGCCTTGGCTGCCCAATACCCAAAGTCTTGAAAATGGAATAGGGTATCAAATTGATACTAGCCCCCAAATCACATAGAGCTTTAGCAAAATCTGCACTCCCAATGTGCAAGGAATGGTGAAAGCACTGGGATCTTCAAGCTTCGGGGCCATTGAATGCACTATTGCACTAACTTGGTGAGTCATTTTTATAGTTTCACAATCCATAGACCTCTTATTTGTCACCAAGTCCTTCATGAATTTAGAATAGCCCGACATTTGTTCAAGAGCCTCCACCAAAGGCACATTGATGGATAAGCTCTTCATCATGTCAATGAACTTTTTAAATGATTCTTATTTTTCTGCTTCGCGAGCTTTTGAGGATAAGGTGAAGGTGGTCGTAGCAAAGGAGCCTTGGCTTTAGGCACAACCTGCTCCGGCATGTCTATTATGTGTTACCTAGATGATTTCACATCATTTTGAGTTTCCACCTAAGGATCTTGAATATCAATCCTCACTTCTTCATTCACGTTCTCATCAATCACATTTTCAACCACCAAAGGAACTTCATCTTCTTGCAAATCAACATCATCATCCACAATTTGCTTTTGTTTGGAGGCATGCACATTACCACCTCTCCTATTTCTTGTTGTTACCGCCATAACATGATTGTTCCTACCCTTCGGGTTTACTACTGTATCACTTGGTATATCACCCTTAGGGCGAGTATTTAAAGACTGTGAGATTTGGCCTAACTGCACCTCCAAGTTTCTGATAGAGGTATTGTGGGAAGCCAACTGAGCATCCGAATCCGCATTCTTCTTCATCATCTGTTCGAACATCATTTCAATTCTACCCATATCATTGCTAGAAGAACTAGGACCTTGAGATGGAAATGGGGGTGGATTGTTCGGTTGTTGGTACATTGGGGGGCCTTTGAAAGCCTTGCCCCCAGTTTCCTTGGTTTCCATTGTTCCATCCACCTTGATTGTTATTACCACCCTAAATGTTGTTATTACCATTCCAATTTCCTTGGTTGTTTTAATTGTTGTTCTGATTGCCCCAATTGTTGTTTTGGTTGTTGTTCCCCCAATTACCATTGCCTTGTTGTTGATTTCCCCAGTTGCCTTGGGGTCTCCATTGTTGTTGGTTGGAAGAATTGCCCCTTTGGCCTTGATAATTATTCACATATTGCACCTCCTCATTTTGTTTGTCATAACCATTATTTTGGAATCCACTACAATCATTGTCAAATTGCTTCGAATTCCATTAGTTTTATTGCCCTCGTTGTCTTCTTTTTTTGACAAGCATATTGACACCCTCCATAGCATTCACTTGGCTATGATTTTGAACTTGTTGCAACTGTGCTTCACTAGTTGGTTCATCGTGGTTGTCAACTTAGCTATAGCCTGCCCATGATCATGTAATTCTTTGTGCAAATGAATAATCGTGGGGTCACCCTGGGGCACATTGGCTCTACTTCGCCAAGCGGAATAAGTGTCAGCCATCTCATCAAGAATTTCACAAGCCTCATCATAAGACAGCTTCATGAAGTTGCCCCCAGCAAGTTGGTTCACTATGCACTGGTTTGTGGTGTTAATACCCCGGTAGAAAGTCTATTGGATCATCACCTCGGACATATCATTGTTGGGGAATTCCTTCACCATTGTTTTGTAACGCTCCCAAATCTCATGCAAAGGTTCCGTGGGCTCTTGCTTGAACGCCAAGATCTCATCTCTCAATGCATCCATATGCCCCGGTGAGAAGAATTTTGCAATGAACTTATCCGCCAACTCATCCTAAGTAGTGGTGGAATGGTTGGGAAGTCGCTCAAGCCAATCCAATGCCTTCCCTCTAAGTGAGAATGGGAAGAGTCTCAACCTAAGAGCATCCTTGGACACATTAGTTTGCTTGCTCCCCCAACATGTATCCACAAACCCCTTGAGATGTTTGTAAGCATTTTGATTTGCATCGCTCGTGAAATACCCACGCTGCTCTAGTAAAGTCAACATCACATTGGTTATTTGAAAATTTCCCTCCCGGATTTAGGGTAGGACAATAGCACTTGCATAGCCTTGTTCGGAAGCACTCTAGGAGCCACTCTTGGAGGTGGCGGAGAAGGGTCTGGAATATTGTCATTAACATTAGCAGTGGCTTGGCAGCCTCTACGTTGTCCTTGAGGTACAAGAGGCACCTTATCATCTCCGACGTCATCTACCTCCTCCCCCGCAATAACATTTCCAAGAGGGTCATTGGCGTTGTTTGCTGTCATTTGGTACCTGAAGTTGTGACACACACATTAGTAACAAAGAAGGAAAGAAGAATAATACACAATACTATTTAGATAGATAGCCAAAATCGTTAGATCTCCGGCAACGACGCCAAAAAGTTGATCGAGGCCAACCCTGCACTACTATTGAGTAGCGAGAGAGGGTCGAAGCAGCTTTTACCTGATTAAGGTCGGGATCGATTTCCACAGGGAGCTAGAAGTTGGAGTCGGGTGTCTATCTAAAGTGGAGTTGTGTATGTGTTCCAGATTGCACTTCTAAACATTTGTGGGTTTTGATTTATTCTAATTATATAAACTACAATGCGCAATTAAACTAGAATAAGCTGAGAGTAAACTATTGCGAGTTGTTCAAATGGTTAAAAGGCACTAGGGTAGTGACTTTCGCCTAGGTGGTCAATTGACGGGTACTTGAGTCTAAGGCATAATTGACACATTTGGGGAGTATGATATAACCATTGCATGATTCTACCCACTCTACACCTCTCGGTGGTTTGAGTGATTTTGCCTGAATTAATTTTCTCAAGACCAATTGGGTATGCACATTTGCACAAGCAATCAAGGTTCAAGTCGGGTATTGCTATCTCTAGTTTAACCCTTTAATTGGGGCTATCAATCTCTTGAGTACACTCTAATTTCTTGTTGGACCAATTTTAGAGACTTAGGCTCTCTTTCTCATGAAGAGCCAAAGTCAACTAAACACCAACTAGTGTTTGCAACCACTAATTTAGCAATTAAATATGAAATTAGGTCAAATATCAAACACCCATAGACAATCAAGCATCAAAACACAAGACCCAACAATTACTCACACTAGGATTGAGCCACTAGCTTATGGGTCTAGCTACTCATAATTGAAGAAGAAAACAACGAAATAGACGAAGAAAAACTCATATTAATTAATTGCAAAGATAAACTAGAAGATTCAATATTGAAATGAAGCTAAAATATCCCAAAATAGCTAAAGGAACGGAAGTCACAAGCATAGCTAAGTACAAAAACTATCTGATGACCTAAAAATGAGAAAATAAGCTATTTATACTAAGCTAAAAAATCTGGACAAAAATACCCCTACGGCGCTAGTGCGGACCGCACAAAATCACGTGCGGCCACACTAAGGCTATTGACTTAAAATCCAGCTCTCTGAACTCGGGCAATGCGGACCGCACAGAATCGAATACGGCCGCGGTGGCTTCTAGTGCGGTCCGCATGAAATGGAGCGCGGACCGCATTGAGCTTCAATCTCCAAACTGGCACTTCTCTGATCTTGGCTTTGCGGACCACACTAAATTGAGTGCGGCCATAGTGACTCCAATGCGGACCATAATAAATCCCATGCGACCGCATTGCCTGTTTTGCCTGAGTTGCATACTCTCTGAACCTCACTTGTGCGGACCGCACAGAATGGTGTGCGGCCGCACTGGCCCTGTTTTTGCCTGAGCTTTGTCTTGTCTTGATAGTTGTGCAAGTCAACCTTCAACCAAGTACCTCAATCAATCTTCTTGGAGCATGGGTACCAACAGATAATATTATACCAATTTTAAAAATATGTACATAAAATATTAATTTTGCCGAGAGACCATGGGTTCACGTGCCCCGTCATCTTACCTATACATCCGCCCCTGCCGTGAACTACAGGTCATACTGAAACAATTTTACCATTGCTCCAACACCCTCTTTCCCTGTTCATATTCATTCATTTCTAAAAATTAAATTAAAATATATCGGTCCCCAAAACATATCCCGGGTTGCATGTTGAACAAGCAACTTCACGTGGTGGGGAAGTTCTATAAAATACATGATTCGACCTTGCTGAAAATCAATAAAAAGTTTTACGTGTTGTTGAAAATCAATAACTCTTAAATTTTTCAAACTAAGCTATATCAAAAATGGAGAGGGCAATTCCGTCATCTGGTTCTTTCAAGCATCAGCCTCCAACTTGTGGTAATTTCATCACCATTCTCAGCATCGATGGAGGTGGCATTAGGGGACTAATTCCTGGCACCATTCTTGAGTACTTTGAATCTCAACTCCAGGTGAAGTTTACACTTCTCCGATGTTTTTGATTCTCTACCTTTATTTGTGTTTTAAAGTATCAGTGTAATTTAACCTGTTATATCAGATTAATTACTTACCATTTATCAAATTTAAAATTTGGACGAATAGGCATTGGACGCTGAGGATGCAAGGCTTGCAGATTATTTTGATGTAATTGCAGGAACAAGCACAGGTGGTCTTGTCACGGCTATGCTAACAGCTCCAAACAAAGATAAGCGTCCTCTGTTTGCTGCTAAAGACATAAAGCCTTTCTATCTTGAGCATGGCCCTAGGATATTCCCACAAAATACTTTGTAAGTTTTTTAATTGTTTTTTTTTAATGTGGAATTCTTGTTAAAGCACTAATATTATCTTAGGACTGACACTTTATTTTGCTTTTAATCTTAGTAATTGGTTTGGAATTGGTACAATGTGGAAATCAGTAACAGGACCAAAGTATGGTGGGAAGTATCTTCACAAAGTCATAAAAGAGAAACTAGGAGAGACTCATCTGCATGAGACATTGACTAATGTGGTTATTCCAGCTTTTGATATCAAGAATATGCAGCCCACGATTTTCTCTACTTATGAGGTCCTTTAATTTTCTCTCACTTTATTGAGCTCTATGCCTCTTAAGTGAGTTGCATTTTTGTCTAGAATTTTGACTTTATACTCGCACAAATTTATCAGTTTTTATTAGGGGGAGTCAAATTTAATGCATGAAAATATTAGTTGATGGATCATTTTGGGCGTAACAAGTTGGCATGTCTAAAAGTTTGGTTCAATTTGGATTTTGGACGACATATTTAGTCCAAATTGATCCAGGAAAAAAGTTTCCGAACATTAAAAAAAATTAATTTTTTTAGGATTTTTGATATCATAATAATTAACATTAATACTTTCATTAGTTTGATTTGGTACTTAAATAAACTAAAAAAGAACAAACAAACGAATGGGAGTAATTTTGAATTGGACGAGTCAAGTTATGACTAACTCATTGTTTAGCCATATACTGACCTGCTTATCTTGACTCAAGCAAACAATGGTCGGATTATGAGCCAATATGTTTTAACTTGCTCAAAGGAAACTCAATTCACCCATTTGACGCCCAAATAGCTTGTCGAATTTATTATTTACTTTTTTTAGTCAGTATACAAAATTATATAATAATTATACACGATTATATACATTTTAATACATGAATTATATATATTATACATCCGCCGGTTGTTTTAAGTTTAAGCGCTTAGGTAGGTAGCTATTTAAGTTAAATCTTCTAGAAGGAATCTAGTTTTTGGGAGATTTTGAAAATCAGAACTTCAAATCCCAAATATAGCTTATGACCTCTTTTTGGGCCAAATCGTGACCATTTGAGACTTTTTAACCGATAAAAAAGGAGTTTTTAACATGTCAAAATTTGCCTTAAAATTCATGTCGCATTTTCAATTTCAAATCAAACTTCATCCAAATCAACTTTTTTTAAATATATTTGGGAATCTATAATATTGCCGTGATCACTTTTGCTGGAAAAATTTGAGCTGATAGATAGAGAATGATTAACTGCAGGCTATGGAAAATCCATTGATGGATGCTAAGCTTTCAGATATATGCATTAGTACATCTGCTGCTCCAACATATCTTCCTGCACATCAATTCCAGACTCAAGACAAAGATGGCAAAGTTCAAGAGTTCAATCTTATTGATGGTGCAATCGCAGCTAACAATCCAGTACGTACAACTATTTCACAATACGGTTAATTTCACATATAGTTACACAACTTTATCTGCTAATATAACGGTAAAATTACACATAATTTTTTGTCACATTAAAGTAAGTGAAATCTACCTACTATATATTCACTAAACTTTACCTACCGCATAACAATAAAGTCACACTACTATTGTTTGTATTACATTAAAATAATTGAACATTAGCTCTTATTATAACAATAAAGTTACTAAACTTTACTCGCTATAAAGACAAAATGTATCCATCAACACGACTTGACTGTTATAATGAAAAACGTATTGTGACTTTACTGTTATAATATGTAAAGTTTAGTTACTTTCATAGGACAATAAATAATTCTATGGCTTTATTATTGTATGAGTAAAGGCTAATTACTTTAAAATAACAATAAATATTGTTGTAAAATAGTGAATAGTTAATGAAGTTAGTGACTTACATTTGAAATAAAGCTACTGTTTGGCCATAGAATTTGAGAGTTTTTTTTCAAATTTTATTTTCAAATATTTCAATTTTTTGGCAGAATTTGAAGACAAAATCCCAAAAACAACTCTAGAATAGTTTTTGGAGTTTTGAAGTTTTCTACTTACAACACTTCAAATTTTTTTCAAGTAAAATACATGTCCAAACGCAATTTAGATCAACTTTCAAAAATCATTTTTCATCTCGCCTTCAAAAATTCATTTTTTTTTTCATATTTCAACCAAATCTATGCTCAAACGCTGGCCAAATAACTCAAAGTTTGTATAGTGTCAGAAATTGATATGACTTGGATGCTTTTGCAGACCCTTATTGCTACAAGTGAAGTTACCAAACAAATATATGCTGAAAACAAAGATTTCTTCCCTATTAAACCCAGTGATCATGGAAGGTTTTTGGTGATTTCAATAGGCACTGGATCAGCAAAACTGGAACAAAAATTTAATGCTAAAATGGCAGCCAAATGGGGTCTCTTAGGTTGGCTAACTAAGNCCCACCGTCTGCTATCTTCAAACTCTATTTGTGAAATTACACTGGATTTTGTTGTTATTGTTGTAGTTGAGTATTTATCAACTGACATATTTAAGGAGAGATATAATAAAATTACCATATTATTTATTGCTTCTTAAGAGGGTGTGTAAGTCAATAATTAGCAAGTAAACTTGAATGAAGGGTGTAATTTAGAAATATACTCATGCGATCCAGGCTATAAAACGTACAATATGTTTTAACGAGTGTGAAATTTTTTTATAAGACTGATAATATCGAATCGAAGGAATACATTTAGTTGAAGTAGCTTTGTTTCAAACAATATAACCACCTTTATTTAGCCTCTACCAGGATCTTTACGTAAATAGCATGCCAAACTTACTATTTACTTTTTCTAGTGATATTATATATAGATTATACACTGATTGCATATGATTATACATACACATAAATACATAAATTATACATATATTATATATCAGTGGAATATCATTTTTACCGTAAACGGTTATGTGAGCATCTATGTAGGTAAATTCTTCAAAAAGAAATAGTTGAAGCTGCTTAGTTTAGAGATGCACACAACAATAACAACCCAGTGAAACCCCATTAGTGAGGTTTGGAGAGAGTAGTGTATATGCAGACCTTACTCCTACCCCGAGAGGTAAAGAGGTTGTTTTAGATAGACTCTCGGCTCAAAAAGACGAGGGTATTAATTATGTTGCATGTATTTAGAGATGCATGTATTTTCAAATAAAATATTGAAATAATAGGAGTGTTATTGGTCTTGTGACTTTATTATGACTAATAAGGAGTATTAATTATGTTGTTCAACAATGTTAGGATGACACACTAAGTGGAATAGACTCCTCCGTTGATATAGCAACCAAAGAGAACATGGCCAAATTGGTTGAAATAGGAGAAAACTTATTGAAGAAACCAGTTTCAAGGATAAATTTGAAGAAAGGTATATTTGAACCACATGAAACTGGTGGTACAAATGAAGAAACTTTGAAAAGGTAATATTCAAAGTTTCTATTGAACATAACTATCCTACATATATAGTAATATCAATACCAAGAAGATTAATCAGTATATATATATATTCAGTGTTAATTATTGAATTGAACATATTATTTTTGCCAGGTTTGCAACAAAGCTTTCTGAAGAAAAAAGACTCAGGAATTCCAAGTGTCGTCATGCAAACAATACAACTTAACTTAAATAGCACTTCATTTGTTTGGAGCATATAAGAATCCTTGTTCAGTTGTTCATGACAGTTGTATTTCTATTTATATATTTTCTAAACTTTGAATATTGAACCAGTGTAATTATAATCATATAGTGTGTTAAGAATAAAGAGAAATTTCTTGGCTTTTCCATATAATCTAAGGTTAATGATCAGTCGACCATAATGATAATGCCTCTAACTTCAAATTAGTTGAAATAGCTAAAAGAATCATCACTACATAGTTTACTATTTAAACCATGTTAGATAATCAATAAATTAAAATTCTCTAATAATATTGTTTTTCTACGCATTCTACCAATATATATAAATTTCTCTATTTAGTAAATACTAAACCTTACGGGTCTAAGTATATCAGCATGGCCATTGGCTAATCCTTATCTCCCCTAGTCAGTGTACATTAGGTCTTTTGCTTCTATTTTCTTCTTTTTGATATGGTTCCTTTTATATAACTAAGGGTACTAAATGGGCAGATCGAGTCGAATACGGATTGATCGAAAGCGAGTGATATAAAAACAAATAAATAATTATTTTACCCGATCCATATTTAATACAGATAAAAAAATGAGTTAATCGGCGTGACTTCTTGAATATGATCACTTATGGGAGAATTCCTAGTCTCCCAAACTTGAGGAACCCCCAATTTCATTATTTGCAAATGTAAAAGTTAAATCCGTTGGTTATCCATTTTTAAGTGGATAATATGGATCTTATCCATGTTTGACCCATTTTTAAAAGAGGAATTTTCAGAAACCACTATTGTTTAGTGGTTATTAACTTCTTATAGCTACCATATACATACTTACTTGCTATAGCTACTAGTTAGTTATTACGGTAATGTATTCGTTGTATTCACGCTACTGTATTCATGAATACGGTCGAAAAAACTGCCTAAAAATAGGACAATCCAGCTGTACACGACTGTATTCACATGTATTCGCGCGCCATGTATTCATGAATACAGTAACGTCAATCACCTTAAAAATAGGTGTAACGACCCGACCGCTCATTTTGAGCTCTAGCGCGTCGTTCAGCAGTTTGAGGCCATGAGCAGCTTCACTTCAGGTATTATGACTTGTACGCATGGTCGGAATTGAATTTCGGGATGTTCAGAGTTGATTTGGAAAGAGAATTCTCATTTCGGAAGCTTTAAGTTGAAAGAATTGACTAAGATTGGATTTTTGAGTAAACGACCTCGAAATCGGGATTCGAAGGTTCCAGCAGGTTCGTATGATGATTTCAGATTTAGGCGTATGTCCAGATTGGGTATTGGAAGACCCGGAAATGATTCGCCACCTATTGTAGAAGTTAGCATTTTTGGAAGAATTTCATAAGTTTGGGTTGAAGTGCATTTCAATGTTATCAATGTCCGTTTAGGATTCCGAGTCTGGGAATAGCTCTGTATGGTGATTCTGGTGTCAGGAGCGTGATTGGAAGTGAATTCGGAGGTACGTGGGTCATTTTGGAATCATTTGGCTAAAGATAGAAATTTGATGGTTTTTGAGGAGTTTGACCGGAAGTGGACTTTTTGATATCGGGGTCAGAATCCAATTCCGGAAGTTGGAGTAGGTCCGTAATGTCGAATGTGACTTGTGTGCAAAATTTGAGATGAATCGGACGTGATTTGATAGGTTTCGACATTGAATGTAGAAGTTTGAAGTTCTAAAGTTCATTAAGCTTGAATTGAGGTGCGATTCATGATTTTGATGTTGTTTGATGTAATTTTAGGCCTCGAGCAGATCCGTGTTATGTTATGGGACTAGTTTGTGTGATTGGACGGGGCCCTGGAGGCCTCGGGTGTGTTTCGGGGTAGTTTTAGATCATTTCGGTCTATTTTGCAATAGCTGATGCGGGTGTCTGGTATTGTCCTTCGCGTTCACGAAGATCCTCTCGCGTTCGCGAAGAAGGATTTGGCTTTAGGGACTCTGTTCTTCGCGTTCGCGAAGAGTGTCTCGCGTTCGCAAAGAAGGAAATCTCTATTGCACAGGTCTGACTTCGGAGGCTCATATCTCGCAATCTATAAGGAATTTGGAGATAATCCAAATACGAAAATTGTAGCTCTTTGTGTCTATTTTTCATAAAATTAAACCATTTAGCATTTGGATTTGTGTAAAAAATGTTATGTTTGGTACACTACAGGCTATTCTAGAAGATGAAGAAGAAATTTGTGTTGTACAGGGCTGACTTTGGCAGCTTATATCAAAAAATCTATAAGGAATTGGAAGATGACCAAAACATGAAAGTTGTAGATCATGGTGTCTAGTTTTCAAAATATTAAACCATTTATCATTTGAATGTTTTTACGAAACGTTATGACTATTATACTAGATACTATCTGAGAAGAGTTTGGAAAATGGTTTTTGAGAATTTTCTTCTTCGCGAATGCGGTGGGGGTCTCGCGAACACGAAGAAGAGTCGTCTGGGCAGTGTATAAGTGTAAAGAAATGGGTTTGGCTCATTTTCTCCATGGGAGCCGACCTAAGAGCGATTTTGGAACTCCATTTTCATCATCCATATCAAGGTAATTGATTCTCACCTATTGAAAGATAATTACTTGGATTATATCTAGATTTTTAACATGGAAAATCATGTAAATTAGTAGAAATTTTGGGATTTTGAAAAACATCAAGGAAATTTGTATTTTTGGATTTTGACCAAGATTTTTGGACATGAAATTGAGAGACAATTATATATTTGAGTTCGTGAGGTTGTGGGTAAACTTTATCTTCGAAAAATTTCGGAATTCGGGCACGTGGGCCGAGGGCGATTTTGTCAACTTTTCGAGTGGAGTTGAAATTTTATATAAATTTAATTGTTATGAGTATTAGGGTGTATTTTCATTGGTTTGGCTGTTATTTGGCTAGTTTTGGAGCGTTGGGGCATCGGTTTGAGTCGTCGGAAGAGGCTTGAAAGCCGGTTATTGGACTTCAGAGCGAGGTAAGTCTCCTTTCTTACCTTCTAAGAGGGAATTTCCCCATAGGTAAAATATTTGATTATGTGCTCCTAGTTGTAGGGGCTACGTATGCACGAGGTGACGAGAGTCCGTGCGTAGCTACTATTATGTTTAAGTTTGGGTAGTCTAGGACCCAAAAACATGTTATACCTGAAATATTTGTAATCTTATTCATAACTAAAATTGACTAAATCATATCGAATTGGTAAAAGAATTTCTAAAAAGGGTTAAACCTCATTTTCTTAAATCGTTAAAAGAGAATTGACTTTTCTTTGGATAAATATTTCTTGATGAATTCTCAATTGACTGTTTGAATGTGTGTATCTAGGAGTACCTGCATCACATGTATGATTCGCGAGAGAGGTAATAGATGCATCTATGGTTCGCGCCATTTGATCCTCTGGCAGTGCACAGTTTATATATTTGTTGGATCGGGTCGTATGACCTCGACATGATTTGCGCATGCTTGTAATGCTTGCTTGAGATTTACAAATTGATATTGCCTCCCTAGTCTAAGATAAATTGATAAATAATGGATTATGAATTTGGAGACTTCTAAATATAAAAAGGAATGTTTACTTGTTTCTTGACTTACTTGAGTTTACTGCCGTTTTTTATAAATTCATGATTATTCGCATTATTAATATATTATTATTGGACCACTAGTAAGTATCAAAGTCGACCTCTCGTCTCTACTTCTTCGAGGTTAGACGGAATACTTACTGGGTACATTTTGTTTTTGTATTCATACTACACTTGCTGTGCATTTTTGTTGCGCAGGCATATGTATGTCTAGTGGCTTAGGTGGGAGCAGCGACATAGTTGATACAGAGACTTAGGTGAGCTGCACCTCTCGAGACGATCCGCGGCCAGCATAGTCTCCTTCAGAGTATTGTACTGTATTTCATTTTATATCCAATTCGTATTTTGGACAGTTGTTG